CATGACATTCTATCACATGCGGCACATGTGAATAGTTTGCACTGTATTGGAATACTAATTAAATCTCTGTTTAAAGAAAGGATAACTTTATGCTCAATCTGGTATGTCTTTATGAAATCGCCATCATCGATCAACTGCAGTATGTCTTGTATTTCAGAATGTAAATATTCCTGATGTCCAAGAAGTTTCACTCTGAGCGGATTTATACTGTACACGCCAGCCTAGATCTGAGGACTTGAGTGTGTACCTGTCATGTTCAATGCCACAGGCAGGGTCGTAAGGAGGGAGATCATTAGCCAGCACTATGCCTAAGAGCTGCAACCCAACAGAGTTGTCTTTACTCTTAGGGTCCTTTCCAGAGTAGTAATCAAATATCAAACTGCAAGGGGGGAAAAAAAAAGCAAAGAATGCATATAATCTTGACAGTGAAGGAATTATGCATAGAAACCAGTGATGTCAGAATACAATGCAGAAAGAGGTACTAACAAATACAGTGATGTAGATAGATATTCTCTGCAGGTTTAGCACAATGTACTACTGTATAGCTAATTAGTGTATCCAATTTCTTTAATTACATCAGTCTCAGAACTTGCCAGAGGTGCATTTCGAGATGATATTTACAAACAAAGAGAAAGAGAATTTAGCATTTATTATTCCATACTTGTATGGTATGTGCAGACAGTCTTTCCAGCACTCGACGATGGTGCGGATGATCTCCAGATTGTGCCTGAATACTGCCCTTTTGGCATGGAAACAGTTTTTCATTAGAAACACCATTAGACGATTGGCCAGGACCTCATCTCTGGTGTTACCCTGGGGAGAAAAAAAAATTGAAGAAAAAACAGGAAAATGGACATGAAAACAGACACCACATTAAAGCAAACAGAATATAAAAAGTAATGTAAAAGTAATAAGCATAGCTTATGTTATTCTACAGTGATGCACCTTTTTTTTTTTTTTTTTTTTTTTTTTAACCTAAACTCTAATTGTTATAAAGGATTACATTTTTATCATACAGAAGCACCTGTACACCTACTCATTCATGCTATTATCCAATCACACCATCATGTAGCAACAGAGCTACTGCAACATGATTGGCTGACTGGATAATTGCATGACTGAGGAGGGATATAGTTGCTATTACAGTGGCTGGTGTGGGTATAGTTGTGTATTTTTACACGGTCACTGATGACTTTAGAAACTGCATTTAGCTTTGAGTGAACACATTTTCTGTTAATGTGACAGAACAAGGAACATATGTGAAAATTCTCATGAGAGTAGGCTGAAAAGATACTGGATTCTTCTTTTAAATATGCCCTTTTGTTCATTTAAGCATTTTCAAATACTCACGCACCTTTGGAGTGGCCACACTGGTCCAGGAGAGGAGAGTGACCACTAGATCCACCACCATAAAGTGGATGCCCTCTCCACCATTGTTACTAGAAACCACCAGCTGTAAGAGCGGACCCAGCCAATGCCTAGCGTAGGGACGGAACACCTGTACAGGAGAAATCAAACATGGCAGCAAATTAAGAGCAGAGAACTAACAAAATCAGAAGCACAGCTCTGTTTGGACCCATGTATGAAAGAGAATAAGAGCAGTCACCTCCTCAGTATTGATAATGAGCTTGGCGATGAACAGTCGAATGTTCAGAGGAGTGGATGGATTACCTAGCTTCCCATGCAGAAATTTCATCCAGGGAGGAAGATCACTTGGTATCACACCCTTAAAAAAAAAAAAAAAAAAAAAAAAAAAAAAAAAGGTAACCCATCCTCTTCTAGGTCATGCCAGATATTGAGTTTGTGTTCAGTATGTGAATATTGTGAACAGGAGTCCTGGAATAAACACAGGACATTCTTTACATACTTCCTCTACTTTAGGGGTGATGTTGTTTCTCTGCATGTGGCGGAACAGAGCAGTCATGGTGGCCATGCACTCGTGCTGGTTCAGCTCATCCATTTCCAACTCAACACTCTCATCCTGAGACAGAACCTCCACATGCTTCTAATGGAGACAAATTAAAATATCTGAATTTAAATATCTTTCTTACAAGCATGCACACACCCACACACACAGAAAGACTCTCTAGGTTTAGCTCACCCTTGCCCTACTAGTGTTTCCATGGCCTGAGGGATTCTGGGAGTTGTAGGAGAAGCTCTGGACTCCTGTAGAGAAGTCAAACTGACTCATCTCCTCACTGAGACTACTATCAGCCATGTAGGACTGGGAAGAGAGGTATACTGGTGCATCTGACAGACAGAGAAGAAAAAAAAAAAAAAAAGGAGTGATTAAAGGAAAATATGTGTCACCAAACTAAGCCCAAACACAGAGAGGAAATAAGCAAAATAGTTTTTTGTACAAACAGTTTTAGATAGTCTAAACTAGTTGAATAAGGGACGATTGTCTATGTGGGCAGTGACAGTTAATCAGATATAGGCAGTAAGCCTTGACTCAACATCTCACCTCCATTTTCTCCACTCACTTCCTTTCTGATCATTACATATTTCCTTTTCCTTTCAATGGGAAACTGTCAACACAAATTACACCAGACATCGCATCAATCACAGCCAAACCACAGCTGCCAAAACAATAACAAAAAAAAAAAAAAAAAAGCTAAGTGAGGTTATAAATTACTTACATCAATCTCTATGGGAAAACTGTATGTCCTCTGTGTGTCAATGAGGTTGTCAAAAATAAACTGATTCTGTGCGTAGGGAAAAAGGTCTCAGTCAGGAAAAGTACAAGGATATACTACAATTGAGCCAAATACATGGAGTTACTCATACAGTATGATGACATAACATGATATTGTACCATAACAATGCTTTAAGTATAAACTAGTCTAGTCAAATAGTAATAGTAAAATAATCTATTTAAGACTTATAAGTCCCTATGTACTGACTCAGGGTCAGGCATTGTGTAGTACTCATTCTGTCACAACAGTCAGCTTTTCAGAGCACACCTTTTCGGGTTTCTCAGTGAAGAGGAAGCCCTGGTAGAACTTGGTCTCGTTGAAGCTGCAGCTGATGAGAGCGATGGCACAGTTGTAAGCAGCACAGTGATACTGCCTCCTCAACTCCAGCAAAGCGCTCTCTCCCGCCATGTTCTCAGTGAACGCCTCAAAACACGACCTGCAACATAAAGACAATGTAAAAACAGCTGTAGACAGCTGCACGATGTTTCTGTCCCCTTAAAAATAAAAGCAGAAATTTCCAGATTTTAACTTGATATTTTTACATTTTAACTCGAAATCAAACAACAATTCGTGTCAAGCGCCTAAATGCAGCAATTCCAATAAATTAGAAGTCATTAGGGCAGTACAGTGGTGCAGAAAGTAGCATTGTCACTGCACAGCTCCAGGGTTCCCTAGTTTGATCCAGGACTCGGGTTACTGTCTGTGGTGGGTTTTGCATGTTTTCCATGTGTCCATGTGGGTTTCCTCCAGGTTCTCTGGTTCCCTCTCACCTCATAAAAACATCTGGATTGGATTAGCTACACGAACTTGCCTCTACATGTGTATGAGCGTGTGCATACTGCCCTGCGATGGACTGGTGGCCTGTCCAGGGTATACTGCCACCTCGTGCCCAGTGTTCCTGGTGTCTAACAAGACCCTGACCAGGATAAAGCACTTAATGAACATGAATGAATGAATGAACTCATTAGAAGTCATTAGTTAGTTAAGCCCTAGAACCCTGAAGAGGCAATAAAATCACTCCTACCCTCCAGTGCTATAGCTATTACTATTGAACATACTTTTTAAAACTTAGTTTTCTTTAGTTTTAGTTATTGTGTTTCTTAGTTTTTAATTTGTTTGGTTTTTATGTGTTGTAGGGTTTTTTTTATTTATTTATTTTATTTAGTAAATATATATGTAAGTTCCAGTTTGAGTCATTTTTGTTCTAGGGAAAGGAGAAAGAAGGTTGAAGAGCTGTTTAGCTGGGGGTTTAGAGAGTGATGCATGAATACACACTAAACAATGTGTATCATTATTACAATTATCACTCAATCTCTTCCTGCCAGCACTCATTCTACACATGAATTCAAAAAACATGAACATAGCACAGAAAATCTGAAATTAATTCACATCTGCTCTATTTTCTTTTACTTAGTTTCTGAAACAATATTGATTGTTTTTATTTGCTTGCTGTTTTCATGCAACTTTAGCATATTATCTTATGAAAAATTTGAATGAAAATGTTTTTTTCACTAGTTACTTAGTCTTTTATAATTACTCCTTTACTCACTTGAGCAGGGTCTTGGATAACTCGTTCCCCTCCGCCTTGATTGGGCCGCAGAAGGCCTTGTTGATGGCCGAGTCTTTAGAGTAAACCTCTTCCTTAGGCAGACGAGAGTAAAGCAACTCCAACAGCTTACAGCAGCCAATCTTCATGATAATTTGTCTCTCAAAAGCAGACTCGATGGACTGAGGCAGAGGAAAGATGTAGAATGAATTCCCCAACTGCTTACTGACAAATAAAAACAAGGACTGTTTGCTTACAATTGTGAAAGTGTTACTCACTTTCGTGAAGCGTGCCTGTAGAGTAGTCATGATGTTAGTCACGTTGGTGATGAAGAATTGAGACAGAGCTTTAGCACTACAGTGAGTGGCCAGTGGAACCAGCACTCTGTCCAACAGGCCCAGGAGCATGGAGTTCAGATGATCTTTGTCCTGGAACATCGTATAGATAGTGCAGAGAAGAAGAACTTGCCCTTCACAACTCGACCTGTTAGAGAAGATTTACAGTCTGAAACAGTAGCTCTGGGCATACAAACACAAAGCATGGAAGTGTTTCTCTGCTTACTGTCGTGCGATTCTCTGGAAGCAGGTCTGAAAGAGGTCTTCCATGATGTGCTTTTTGTCACGGCACAGCACTTTAGTCATTAGTATCAACAGGAGAGGACTCTGAGATAGCTCCAAGGCATCTAAAAACTGAAAAAAAAGGCATAAACATCTGATTAATGAATTTACGTCAGAACATTATAAAGACAGACATGGAACACCCAACTAGCTCAGTTGGTAGAGCACGAGACTCTTTATCTCAGGATCGTGGGTTTGAGCCTCATGTCGCCAACCCCAGCCACTGGGGGTGCAATATTTATACACCTCTTCCACTGAATGCTTTTCAAATCAAAATATTACATTTAAATGAGAAAAGAACTAGGTTTTAACCCAATATAGAATACAAATTTTAAAGGTGCCAATCAGAAAAATCCGATTTTTACTGCAAAAGTGTACGTGGGGCAGTCGTGGCCTAAGGTTAGAGAGTCGGACTTCAAAGGTCATGGGTTCGAGTTGCAGGATTGTAGGTAGGGGGAGTGAATGACCAGCGCTCTCTTCCACCCGCAATACCACGACTGAGGTGAGACCCTTGAGCAAGGCACGAACCCTCAACTGCTCCCCGGGCGCCGCAGCAAAAAAGGCTGCCCACTGCTCCGGGTGTGTGTTCACGGTGTGTGTGTGTTCACTACTGTGTGTGCACATTTGGATGGGTTAAATGCAGAGCACAAATTCCGAGTATGGGTCACCACACTTGGCCACAAGTCACTTCACTTTTTGAAGTGGACGAGACAGCTCCATGCTAACTGCACAAGTAATTAAACATGTAGTTTTTATAGTTAATCTACAATGTGCATGTAAATTCTCTAGTGTCTAGAGAAAACAGAAAAGCAGCAGTCTTATCCCCACGTTATTGTAAAACCCTGTATATATCCACACATACACACACACTAGTTTCTACCACACCTGCTAACTGCTGCAAGAGAGCAAACAGCATTTCTAATCACTTTCTAACGATCATTACAATAGAAAGTATTAATAAAGTGTTGATATAACACTAAGATATCTACAGTGGGGCAAAAAAGTATTTAGTCAGCCACCAATTGTGCAAGTTCTCCCACTTAAAAAGATGAGAGAGGCCTGTAATTTTCATCATAGGTACACTTCAACTATGAGAGACAGAATGGGGGAAAGAATCCAGGAATCAAGGAATCACATAGTCTGATTTTTAAAGAATTTATTTACAAATTATGGTGGAAAATAAGTATTTGGTCAATAACAAAAGTTCATCTCAATATTTTGTTATATACCCTTTGTTGGCAATGACAGAGGTCAAACGTTTTCTGTAAGTCTTCACAGGGTTTTCACACACTGTTGCTGGTATTTTGGCCCATTCCTCCATGCAGATCTCCACTAGAGCAGTGATGTTTTGGGGCTGTCGCTGGGCAATACAGACTTTCCCTCCAAAGATTTTCTATGGGGTTGAGATCTGGAGACTGGCTAGGCCACTCCAGGACCTTGAAATGCTTCTTACGAAGCCACTCCTTCGTTGCCCGGGCGGTGTGTTTGGGATCATTGTCATGCTGAAAGACCCAGCCACGTTTCATCTTCAATGCCCTTGCTGATGGAAGGAGGTTTTCACTCAAAATCTCACGAT